TCAGAGTAGAACTGTGCCCCACAGGGTTCTCAGTGGATGATTTTCATAAGTAGATCCCCTTTCTTTGTCTCCGTGTATGTCAGAGTAGAACTGCGCCCACAGGGTTCTCAGTGGATGATTTTCATAAGTAGATCCCCTTTCTTTGTCTCCTATTGTGATTTAGGTGACAGCTTACAGAGCCACGTCGTTCTCCGTCCAACAGCTCCTGCACATTTTGCTTTGTGACATTGGCTGCCTCCCTCACAGTGGAACCCTTACCACTTCCTCCCTGTTTACCCTTCCTTCTCTCCTAACTCACCCGCCTCCTGCGGCCCTTTTGATCTCAAAGGGTTGGCTGTTTTAAGGAGGTGTGCTCCCCAGGAGGTGTTGCTATTCACTTTAAAGGCCTGTCTGCTGTTTGACAGGAAGCTGAGTCAGTCGCAGCCCTGAGGGGATGGATGTAAGGGTCAGAGCCTAAGGAGCTTCCCAGTCTCTGACCAGTAAGCCTGGTCCTTTTTATGGTTTTGAGTTTGGCTCTGCAATTTTCTCCCACTCTATACAGGACCTACTATTGAGATCCTTTCAGAGCAATCAGCAGTGGTGACAGCGCACCATCTAGTTCTGGTCTCTGGGCCATGGGGGCTGGCCTTCACGTGGTCCATTAGTCGTTTGGATTCATTGTTTCCATGAGTCTTTGAGGTTCGTTATGCTTTCTTGCTCTGGATGGGATAAGACCAACATCTACACCTTAGCTCAGGCCTTTCTTTTGAGGTGGACTCCAACCTTCCATCTTTCCGGTGGCAGCTGAGCACACCATTAGCACTCTAGGGTCTCCTTTCTCTCTCTTGAAGTAAAGGGGTTGTGTACTTTAATGTGGTCCCATTTGTCATGTTGTCCTTTCGGACTTTTTCTCTTGCTTATGAGGTTGTCTGATTCTGAGGTCTTGAAGATACTTATCTGCATTTTCAGCTAATAAATGTCAGCTCTGGTTGTCTTTGGTGTGTGTGTGTGTTTCAGCCTCTGCAGCTCCCAAATGTTTTGTGGGA